AATTCTTAGGTCGTACTTAGAAAGCCGGGAACAAGTAGTCAAAATTGAAAACCATGTAAGTTTGCCTGCTAAACTAACATACGGAATTCCTCAAGGATCGATTCTCGGCCCCCTGTTGTTTTTAATTTATATTAATAATATAAACAATGTTAAAACATCAGGCACCATTACACTTTACGCAGATGACACCTGTCTCTTTTATTTTGGACCCAACCTGATAGATATCGTGAAAGAGGCACAAAATGATTTAAATATTTTAAACAACTGGTTTCTATCTAACTTATTAACTATTAATACGAAAAAAACATCATACATGATCATTGCTGCAAAAAATAAGAAGATTGACCATCAAATCCAACTAACAATAAATAAAGAAAATATTACAAAATCAAGTGGTGAAAGATATTTAGGCCTCTTTTTGGACACAAAATTAACATGGAAACACCATATTGCATATATTAAATCCAAAATATCTCCTGTTATTGGTGCACTACGTCGAATGTCCTTTTGCGTCCCTAGTAAGGCTCGAGTAATGATCTATAACGCTCTAGTTAGACCTCATATAGAATACCTGATTGAGATATGGGGCACTGCTTCGAAATCGAATATCCAAGAAATTCAAATCTTGCAAAATAAAGCAATAAAAACACTTTATAACTACGACTACCTAACACCAACACTTAACATCTACAAGGATACCAAAATCCTAACAATTAGACAACTATACATTCTTAAAACTTGTATACTAATACATAAAATCATAACACAAGGTACACATTCACAATTAAGCTTCAAAGAAAAAACCTATACATACAACGCTAGGAAACGAAAAAAACTAGAAGTGACAAAGCCTAGAACCAACTATGGTAAGAAAAATATATTATATGAAGGTATAAAACTTTATAATGAAATACCTGATGATATTACTAAAAGTGATAACTTGTATAAATTTAAAAAAAAATTAGGAGATTACATTAGGATAAAGTACTGACTCTAATGAAGTTGTCTGTATATCTTTAGTTTTGTATTACTGTAATATGTGTTTTATACTACTGTGTATTGAGATCACAGAGATACTTAACTAATTTCTTGTGTTGTTACATTTTCTCATTATGTAAGTGAACTGTATTGTTCTTTTTATGAGAAATAAATGTCTCTCTAAACCGAACTACTTGCTACAGAGCTGTGTTTTATTATAATTGTTATTACTGATTTAAGAGTCTTGAATGTGTTTCCTATATATTTATTACTTCGGTAATTAGCTTCATTAGCTACCTTAGTGGTGTCGGGAGAAAAGCTTTCATACTACGGTAATATGTGAAATCAAGTTAATTTCACAAACTGATGTAATGAATGCAATTAGTGTTGACCAAGAAAGATATTTTCCCGCAGAATAACCGCAAATCCAAATATCACAACTCATTAACAAAATATACGTCAAGTGTGAGCTGGATTGCCGTTGCGGGTTCTGTGTTTCATATAAAGTGCAATCAGGATCAGAAGTTATAGAAATTTGTTTTAAAAATTAATAAATGATGTTTACCTCCTTAAAGTCTCCTTATCTCAACATCATTACAGTCAACTTACGAGTATAACTAAATAGTTGTTCTGTTAAATTTTCAACAAATAACTTTTGTATTTAAATTTTATCTTTCAAACATTTTTTTAGTTTTAAAATATCGTACAGGTATATATTTTAAATAAATTGAATATCATTGGCCACTTTATCGACGTGATTTGAAGAAAATAAAAAAACAGTACGGTTTAGAAAAATAATTTATGTTTAAGTGTTCGAATTATGACAGAGTAAAACATAAAATGTTTGACAGTATTGTTAAATATATACCTATCTATATGTATTTGAAAAATAATATTACAATTGTGTATAATATTGTTCTTACTTTCAGTGTTTTCAGTGTTGTCCGTTTTCAGTATACAGCTGGACACTTTTTCAACTTTCCCACTTCATGGGATGGTAGTCCTTGCCTCTACACTACATAGTCTCATCACACACACTTCAGCGCACTTACTTAAAAAATATAGATAAGTTTTTATACAATACGCATATAGAAACGAGCCGCACGTGCGTTTTAGTATATTTGTGTAAGGAACCCTAAAAGGTAATAAGAATTAAGCTTACCGAGGGTAACCTTGTTCGCACAAGTCATTGAGCCCTAGAGAGCACTTTTACTCATTCTCTAAGTGTAAGTGCACTTTCACAAAGTGCACTAAAATTATATGCAAGTTGTGTAGTAACCGTTTCACTTTCTGTTTGTTTGTTTTGTGCATAGTTATGTACTTTACGTGCTTGTGAAGGTTTTGTGAGAGAGAAAGTATTGTTGTACATTTGTTATAGTCAGTTCATGTAGGCCACATTAGAGATGTAAAAGAACACGGCCCTGGATTCAGTCAGTATACTGCATCTAAATCTTGGTGTTGTTTTATGATATCGGGGTCAAACGCGGCCACCTTAGCTGATGGTAAGTAACTATAACCGCCAATTGACATTTGCAAATCAAGAGACACGAGTTCGTTGCTGCACTTTGAGTGATTAGAGTGAGTAGCGGGGTAGGGGTTGGTTCAGGCCTTAAAACCATACGCAGCGCCGACCAGCTTATGCATTATTAACAGGATGTCTTAATAACAGCAGTTCCCGGATCTCTCCTATTACTGGCGCAGAGTGGCAGACCGTGTGGTTTTCGTCAGTCCTATTACGACATACCACCCTGCCCTAATCCCCGGTGGGGTGACGACCCGAGGGTAAAAAACCACTGGTAAAAAAAAGGCCTTAAAACCAGATTTTTATGAAGCTGTTATATCACTCTGTTCGAGACATTCCCCCTGAATTACTTCTTTTGAAGAAAAAGTTAGTAACAAGTTTAAAGGATATTTTAAGTCGAGTCGAGTAGTTCTCGTGAGCTATGTATGTGGAATTGAGGACGTGGATGCCGTTAGAGGGAGCGGAATCTTGTTCATAGTGGGAGTAAAATAGTTGAATTAAAACGGGTCTTGACAACTCGTGATGAAAGTCTTAAATGAGTCCTCATTTAGCTTCTGGATGTAAGTACCTTGGCTGAAGGCTTAGTATGATTATTTTTTTACTCTTCTCTTCATTGTACTGGTACACATCTATACAAATAAATAAAATTGGAGTGTCTGTTTGTAATATTAAAAAAACCGCTTTTTACTAAATGCATATGTATATTTACACGGTAAATATGCCAAAATAACATTTTTTACTGGACCGATTTCGACGGGACTTTCACTGGCAGATAGCTGATGACATAAGGAGTAACTTAGGCTACTTTTTTTAGACTACCTTCGCCCCGCGGCTTTGCCCGTGGTTATAACAACAAACGCGGGTAACACCGCGGGTCTCAGCTAGTTTTAAAATATAACTAAAACTATGAGTTACGGATACAATCGGCGATCGATTAACGACTAACAGATATTATTTAATATATTAAAACATCAATCATAAATTTAACATGATGATTGACTGCACGGATGGCGTAGTGGTTTTAGGCGGTCGCTACGCCGATTACTACAACGCTGAGTGTTGTGGGTCCGATCTCCACACGGGACGACACTTTGTGTGATCCACAAATTGTTGTTCTGAGTCTGGGTGTACTTTGTATCCGTTTCATGTATGTTTGTAAATGCCCCCCAGACCCAGCATATATATGTATAATGCGGGAGCTGTCTATTTAAAAAAGAAAAAAAAAATGATTGTTTAATGATTTTTAAATGATGGATGGAAGAATGGAATATACAAATTAGGATGGTTAAGTAAACTATTAAAAAAGTTTTCATAAAATTGCTTTTTATTGTAATCTTATAAAAAATAATATATCCTAATAAATATAAAAGTGAGAAATATAAAATAAGCGGGCACCTACAACAATTTTTTTATAGTAACTTATTTGATAATGGTAACTTTAAATATAATTATCACAAAAATATTATTAGAACTACGATTTCGAGTATTACTTTGAAGTAAAATACTTATTTAACGTCACGTCAAACTAGGGATGTCTGTATACGTAATCGAAACTATCGGATATTCATAATTTAAAAAAACCATAAACGTATCTGAAACTGTAAATAAACGTAAACTAATGTAATAAAAAAAAATAAACATGAACATATCCTTTCGGATATATCTGAAAATGTTTTTGTTTTATTGTGTGTACCACACTAAAATATTAATTTAAAAGTCAAATTGGAATAATACTTTTCTTTTTGTGTAGAGTTTTTGTTAAAGACAGTTATAGGTTACGTAACATCACACTGCGACCTTTAGGAGCGAAAAGTCGTGATAATTCGAACTAATTTCAAAACAGTGATTGCATCTGAAATAGGTATAATATTTTTCGTATATACCCGAAACGTATCCGAAAGTTCATATCCGTAACATCCCTATTGTAAACCTATAAGGGCTGTCAGAGGTCTATTACGAACACATTTAATTTAGAAACGATTAATAAGCACATGCACCTAAAACACGCATTATATCAAACAATTTTAAACCTTATTCCAAAGGTCATAGAAATGGAACTAATAAGAGTATATCATGTCAATTATGGGTATCGGTATTCATAAAAATCATTTTATTACTACTCGGAACAAATAATTCCATTCAAGAGACTTCTATTCTCGAAATATACTCTAAGAATACATTTTAAATGCATAATTATAAAATACATTTTATCATTGAAGCATCTGAATACGCATCGTCATTTCGACTTAAATTTATGAATAAATTCAATTTTAAGTCAAACTGACAATTATTTAAAGCTATTTAAATGTAATATTATTATATGTCTTATTTTATTATTTATTTAACAAAACTTTTATAAATTTAATATTAATTGATTTTTATGTCTCAGTAGGTAGGAGTTTATAGCAATTACCTAATTATTATTATTATTTCTTGTTTTCTTGTTCATATTTATTAAATCATTTTAGAACATTGTTTTTAGGCTGCAAAAAAGTAAAACTCAAACTGTTCTTGAAGTGTCCGCGCTACTCTCTTTACTCTTCTCTCTCTCTAGCAATCTCCTTCTAACCTCATCTGGATTATACCTCTTTTTATAAACTCTTCTAACCCTTCGTACAGGATTAACATTTCTTGGTTTTATAATTTTCTTACCAAAATTGGATGCTGTAGCTAAATTAGAGATTTTAGAGTCATCTGCATTCCTCAAATTCTTAGCTCTTCGAGTAGAGTTGGCAACAAAAGCTTCTCTTTGTTGTCTTATCGTGGCGTCATAGAAAACTTTTCCATTAACTATGGCTTTCCGTATATTGTCTGTGGTTGATAATATTCTAGGAGGACGAACGTATGCTGTCTCACTCACTTCTAAGCTTTTGTCTGCATTCCTCTCTCTTTCAATTTCATCTTTACTTACTTTTTGAATGATTCCTCTCCTTTCAATATTAAATCTATTACCAAAATTATAATCTGTTAGTTCCTTATCAATAGCTATATTTTTAGTTTCTAAATCTTTTTGTGATCTATTATCTAAAACTAATTTTCCACCTCTTCTTGAAGCTAAAATCCTGCCTATTTCTTCAATCTGTCTTTCCTCGGCCTCTAAAGTTTTTAAATCAGATGGTTTATCTCCTTTCACATCATCTAAATCTAACACTTCTATTGATTCTGTGAAATCATCTAATTTATCATCGATACCTTTAATAACATCTTTCACTTTAGCATTTACTGGTTTTATGATCTCTATCTCTGTTTTATTCTCCTTAACTTCTTCTTTTACATCGGGTAACTCTGTTGTGGTAGGTTTTACTTTGACTGTCGTCACTTCCGGAGTGACATTTTCAAAGACACTTATATTTCTCTGTTTTTCATCTCTACGCTTTTCAACGTTGTTAGGTTGTGAAGTTGTTGTTGATTGTGGTTCTCGTTGTGTTGTTGTATACTTATATCTTTCTGTTGTGGTTGAACTTGACTCTGGTTGAGTTTCGTTATAGCGGAAGTAGGTTGTGTTGGGAGGTGGCCCTTTGTGGAGATAAGCTACTGGCCAGTATCTGGAATACGGTGATGATAAGACATTACAAATCTTCATCGATTCTCAGCGACTTTTATATATTAAGACGATACATAATACATTTTCAGTGTAGAATATGACGACTTTAAAGTTAAACAGTCGAAATTAATAAATGCATAGATATGCATTTATTAATTTCGACTGTTAGTTCATCATGAAAGTCACAAAAAATAAAAAATAGATTTCAGACCAACTTACCTGGGTACTCCTAACGTAGGAGGTGGCATGTCTCCCCTATCTTGAGGAACTTGCAGCCATTGTCCAGTACCGGGAGGGGGATTATTATGACTATATTTAATATGTGGTCGTTCTTCAGTAGGCACTCGAGAGTAACCTGGAAAGAGATTACGTTATTAAAAAAAATTACATCACGTCTAGGTGAACTAGTAGATAAAGCTTTAAGAATTAAACCCATGTTTGTATCGGATGTACATGAAGCATAAACTTCAAATGAATTAAGAGCAGGATGGCCAAAACAAAAGGAATCGTCTAAAACAGTAGTTTAGTCATGTTCTCTGTTTGTAAAACTTATGATTACTGGATTACTTAACATTTCTCGATTACTGTCATAACTAATAAGGTTCGAAATGCTATGATCCAAGAATAATGAGAAGGCTATAATCTGTGACAAAGTGAAAATCTGGTCGACGATCAATAAAAAAAGCTAACAAAACAAACCTGGAAGTGGGTTTCCAAATTTATCATAATACGCTTGAGGTCCATTCGAATACAGCTCATCCCAATATCTTCTATCAGCTTCTGATAAGTAAGGACCTTGAGGTCGTTCGAAACTTGGCTGTCTTGGTGGTCCTTGAGGTCTATCGTTAAATACCGGTGGGGGAGCTGGCGGTCCTGGTAGATTGTTCCAAGGTCTTTGGGGTGGACGATCAGGTTCTAGAAAATTCAAATCAATTTTACACAATTTTTTATTTTTTATACCCAATTATCAAAAGCTTGCTTACGCTAATACTATCGTATTAGATTTTTACTTTATCATTGTAGACTTCTAACTTTTAGTTTCTAGTCTCTCTTCAAATATTAATAATACATTGTATCAACAAAGTTAAATAATCTTAGAAAAAATAACGATTAACGTCACTATAAATATCTATCACCTATCTCAGGACTTGCCTCTTTGTCCTGGTGAGTTCTGATGCCCTTGAGATGGATGAGGAACCTTGTGTTGATGGTACGGATAATATTTTTCACTGCAAGGTCGCCACTGATCATCTGCAGGGCCTACATAGCACCTGTAAATAATATAAAGTATAAGCTGTTACTTTCTTATCATACTTTTCTTTTTTGGAATAAAACAACAATTTGAATATTAAAGGGACGGTAGTTGAAAACAGTATAGTTAAAATAATGCAATAGTGCTCGGTGTATAGGATACCTGCAAAATCTGCTTTAGTGATTCAGAGGACATTTCAGTCTAAGAATCGCTTTTTACAGTTTAACAATAAAATTCAGCAGTTCCAATATTAATTATAAATAAGATTTAAGAACATGTCAAGGGAAATATTGTTTATTGGTATATTTTATTTTTTTGTAAATATCAATATTCAACTTTACACCATGATATAGATGATGAAATAATCAAGTTACATATTTATTTATTTAGATTTATAACACACACACATACACGACGAATTTTCCATAGTCCTGTGAATGAGCTCACTTAAACAGAACTAACCATTTATAGTAAGTAACTGGTGACATGATTTTTAGATACTACTCGTATATACTGATAAATTTCAGTAGTTACTTATCATACGCCTTACTGCATTATTGAGCATTGTTTCAACAATTTCAGGAATTCAAATGAAGTTATGTTTTGATGCATGTTCTTCCATTTTGTTTTATAACATTTTCTTTATTTACTTTCTAACCCTTGTTTTTTATTGTGTTTGGTTTCAATCTAAAATAAATTAGCAATAGCAAGAGAATCGGTTCAGTTTTAACTAATTTATGTATTTAATAAAATTGGTTGTTCTTGAAATTTCGTAAATTATAAGAAATACAGGGAGTCGCTACACTATATTACTATAATAATATTAAAAACGTATAGCTGTTAAAATAAATAAAATAAGTTTTATAGTTTTATAAGGGCTTATAAGCTAAACTTACCATGGCTTATGGAACCCTTCGCTGTAACCGCACCTGTGAGTTGGAGCGCAACAGTAGTCCCAAGATCCTAGCGTTGCAAAATGACAAATATTTAAAAACATGCGCTTTTTATAGAATTATTCTATGATAATTTAAAGGTATATAATTTTCAAAATCAATACTATTATTTGGAGCACGAACTTCAAAAACTGAAGAACAATTTGACGAGTTATGTTAACGTGTGCATATAGCTTTTTTATAAAACAATATTATTGTTTTAATTCTCTCAACTCAACTCTTTTAACAATATTCAACAATATTATTGTTTTAATTCTCTCAACTCAACTCTTTTAATTGCAGTTTCAGATTTAGTTTTATTTTTAATGATATAACACAAAAAATTGCTTTATCTTAAAATAAACCAATGAGTATTAAATAATAATTATTATAAAATAATTAATAAATATTATTTATATTCTTAAATAGACATTTGGATTTTCAAGGGTGCTCAAGGATTACTGAATATCAGGTAAACGTAGATACATAGAATATGACAGCAAGATATAATATGACAAATTAAAAATGTACTATTTTGAATAATGTAGTAGCAAGGACAACGAAAACTTGAGGACTCCTGTAAATCTTACCAATCTCTCCACCTTCAGGCTCACACGCCCAATGTCCTGCTATATGGTTCTGGGCACAAGTGGTTCCATCTCGGCAAGGGAATCCTGACACTGTATAATGGCGCCACGACGCTGTCACTACGGAATTTTAAATTGGAAGTTAGTTTTGTTCTATGGTCGACAAGGTCAAACGCTTTATCAAAATCTTTTTCATTTTAAGCCAAAGAAGAGTCAAATTTATGATACGATTTTTATTTAATTATCATTTGTTTTGTGTCTGGGTATAATTTACCCATAATATATATGTACGTAATTAAAAAAATTTAAGTATGTAAGTATCATTAGCAGTCTGGCTACGATAGCACTGGCTCATCCTAGATTGGTTTCAGACTGCCATGTGGGTTGTGGAAAGTTATAAGTTAAGTTATAAATATTGTGATATGTACTATATACCTATATCAAAAGCTAACTACTTTATGGTATCCAAAATGAATTGCCTAATACCTAAAACAAGCATTATTAATATGAAAAGTTTCAAATAAGCCAATGTATTTCATGGTGTTTTTTTTAAATTCAATAATCTAAATGTGTTTTAAGCTTAACGAAGATGGGTTCATGATTTGTGATGTTAATGGTGTACATAGAACCTACTACCAAAATAACATACGCAAATAAGGCTGTAAATAAAACAATTTATTAATAACCTGTAAAAAATCATATAATAATAACATAATTTCATTGTTTATTTGTGTAATCATTGTAAGTAATCGAAAATTAACATTATATTGATTTGTAACCACTTACTTGGTTCCTCAATGTCTCTATCTGGAAAACCAGGTCTTCCAACTGGTCTACTAGGTTTGGGTATATCCGATAATGGTCTATTTGGTCCAACATATTCTGGTCTACGGTCCGGCAAATAGCCTGGCTTTTCTGGTAAGTAACCTGGTTTTCCTGGTATAAAATCTCGATCAATTGGTCTGAATGCTGGCTTTTGCGGTCCAGATGGTCGTAAAACAGGTCTAATATCAGGATCTGGTAGGTACCCAGGTCTGTAGTTTGGACTAGGAGGCCCTGTAGGGTAATCAAGTTGTGCAGGAGGTGGATAGGCAGGTTTAAAGTTATCAATGTGTGGATATCCAGGTTTCAAATTAGATGCAGAGTCGGGAGGATATCCAGGTTTCAAATTAGATGCAGCGTCGGAAGGATATCCAGGTTTAAAATTAGGACCTGGTTTATAGCCAGGTCCAGAAGGATCAATGAAAGTAGGTTTAAAATCAGGCCTAGGTGGACCGGGATATTCAGGTCCAGACAGATCATCATAGCCTGGTCTAAAGTTAGTTTGAGGTCTAAAATCAAGAGCAGGTGGAGCGGGATATCCAGGTTTAAAACTTAGTTCAGGGTAGCCAGGCTTAAAATCATCGCCGGAAGGTCCAGAATATCCTGGTTTGAAGCTTGGTCCAGGATATCCAGGCTTTAGTACTGGACCAGGAGGTGCTGAATATTCTGGTTTCTGACTGGGTCCAGGAGGATAATGAGGCTTACCAGGCACAGAATGTTCTGGATAATCAAGGTTCGGGTGGGGTGGGTATCTAGGTGGGCTAGGTTTGTACCCTGGACCACTTGGTGGGCCTGATGGAATAAAAGGTGGCTCTGAAAGAAACATATTTTTTCATAAGAAAAGAAACTTTGGTATTTGGAATAAATTGGCAGTACACATTGTGCAATATAGTATAATGTAACTATAATTTATCACGATCACTTTATGAGTCCTGTTCTATAATTATCGGGTTGCTAGTACAAATTGGCTATGAACTCCTAGTTGTATCAAAACTGCCTCTAAATATAAGTAGATCATCTTTCTTAATCTATTTATCTATATATATAATTATATAATCTTATCTATTATTTTCTGATTGAAGAACAAGCTTAGCCGAATGAAGAACAGTCAGCCGTTGAGGCTCGTATTAAAAACTACTCACCATGATCTGGTGGATATCCAGGTCCAGAAGGACCGGAAGGTCCAGTTATTCCAGGAGGTCCAGATGGTGGTACTGATATCGAATATGGATCTTTGACTGGAGGTAGTGATAGCGGGCGAGGTATTTCTGGTGAAGGTTCGCTGGAAAAAATATCATATTCATAGCTCACTACCGTCAATAGTAGATAAAACATTAAGCATTACATTTTGAATAGTAACTGCTTTTGTATTTTTTTTTGTTGTGATTTTTATTTAACATATATTAATTTCTTTTTTCCTTTTCCTAAAATTGCCTAGTATAAATTATTAATTAATTGAAAAATAAACGTGCAAAACATGTAAAAAGTCTGAAATAAAGTATTGTTACTATTATTAAATGGTTATTTCAGAAAATGCTGTTTTAGGGAACGGTGAAGTTGAATAGTTGAAGTAAAGGTCTTTGCTGAAGACGATCTCCTATACTTCACTAAGTAATTATATTATAACAGCAGCAAATTTCTGAATCTATTTGGCCTTTTTCTTTCCGTGCGGAAATCCCCTCGGATACCACCTATCGGTGGCATGTCGGACTCGAACCGACTAAAACCGCACGCCGCCTCGGGTACTAATAGCCGGGGAACCAGGTATACCCTAGAAAGGAAGTCCCTGGTGCCCCGACATACCTCGGCCCATCTACAACAACAGGTAGACGACCCCCCCTTGTGGGAATCCCATGTTCCCTCTGCTCCCTGGAAGCGAGCGCGCTTCGCGCTCGCCGCCACCCCGGCCTGCTTCTGCTAGGGTGACAGATGGCCTCACCTGTCACACCCAGGCCTGCGCTTATGGAGGACGGAGGTCGTTCTGCGACCTCCGTCCACGAGGTCTCGCCTCTGCTCAACCCACGCCGAATCTATTTGCCCTAAAACTTTTTGATCGTCCATTCTGAGTATATTCTCAAAACCCTAAAATGCTTTATGTGAACTTTCCTTCACATCACTTTAAAAGACAGTTTAAATAAAAGTAAATATCGTCTCCAAAATAGTCATCGATTTAGTACCATAGTACGTCGATTTAGTACCATATAGTAAATAATCTGCAGAGACTTACTCGAAGTGGTGTGAATGAATCTTCCTCCAGCATTGTCCATTGAACAGATCGAAGGCAAACAGCCAGTCGTCGGCTGAGTGGACGTAGTCCACTCCTCGTTGAAGGTCAAACAGACGTATTTCGGATAGTAAACAGTTGTCTGTATTTGGGGGTGCATTGTTACTGAAAGAAAACATAACATACTTTGACATAATGTATAACATGATTTTTATTTCACATAACCAAAGCTTTAAACACTATGTAGATTTTGTGGGCTGGCAATTATAATCATTATAGAGTTAAGAAGGTTGTTTTTCCCTCACAGGAAGGTCCACAAGGTTTCCACAACAGGGAGGTCAACAAGCACACGGTCTACCTGAAGGCAAGTGGTTCTTTGCTCAGGGCCGACTTATCCAGCAAGACCTAGAGACCTTTTAAACATTTAAAAACACTATACTATATTCTATACGGCATGTAGTTAAGTACTCGTATGTACCTTGGAAGAGGATTATTATTTCAAGCATTTACTCTATTTACTGCTTATAATCAGGCTAATCACATGGTTCTTTTAAGTCCTGGACATTTAAAATTTACAAGTGATAGCTACTTTAACCTTCAAGCACAAGCTGAATCAAGAGTAAAGTTTTGCACATTTTACAAGTTTTGGAGAAGTCATTAAGTACTTCATTGTTACTTTAACTAAGTGGTTTTTAACTTTATTACTTTGTAGTTAGAGTTGCTATTTACTTGTCGTTCTCACTTCATCTCTTAAAGCTAGACACGGTTTGGTATGAAACTGGTCTACTTACTTGAAGGAAAAGCTCAAACAAGTAAATGGCGCATCGTTACACGCATGCCCACATGATTGCTCGTCTTTGACTCGAGCTTGACCGCGTATGGCGGATCCCGTCAGCTTTGCGGCTTTTTCATACTGAAGGTAGCATTCTGTAACCAAATAAACCATAATTACAGGACCAAAAACCTCAAGCTCCGTGAATTCTGCAGGGAAATAATCAAAGCGGAATTTCGAGTCTATCTTTAGAATACAGAATTGTTGCCGCTCTTACATGGCAGCAAAAGTTCGTCAGAGTTTGGTCTCGGTCTCCTGAAATCCATTGATTTCGCATTTTCTTTCGAAAGATCATTTGACTTTAAAAACAAAATTTGCAATTATTAGGAACGAAAAGAAAACTTGAAAGAATAAAATAATTAAGAATGGGATTACAGAGAATAAGAAGTAATGATCTGATGGACTTCACGTTTGGCGGCCAACGTTTAGTGTTGATGTTGAATTATAGTTTCATTGTGGGATACAGGATCAGTACTAAATCGACTTGGATGTATTTTGACCAGTTTTACCCTGGATGGTTTTACGCTAGGTTTTCAGTGTTCAATGCCACAAACGATATTGCTACAGTCTTTATGGCTGACTGCATGGTTTGATCAAACTAATTTGTTCATGCATTGTCAGCCATGAAACATCAAAATTGGTTTGTTAAATACAACTAGCTTTGTTTTATCATTTTGGGCTTAGGCTTAGATTAATATCCACACAGCCTAATCAACTTGAAAGCATACCAAAGATAATCCTACACGTCCTTATTTTGTTTTGATTTATGCGGAATGACAGCTAGGGACAGAAGTGTTGTTCTTACTATTTCATCGCAATTGTTAAGTTTTTTCTTTCCGTAAGAACATAGCTTGTGCCTTAACGAAAATATGAAAAAAGTAATTCGTTTTGCGCTTAGCAACACATTTGGAGACTCATTTTTATTTACATAGATTGAGATACATACCTTCATCCCGATTTTGTGCATCATCATATAGCGCTGGCTCACAACCTCTTCCATAATTCCCACGGGCATACAACTCATGTCCAGTACTGGGACGAAGACCATGTCCGTTGTCCAAAGACGTCGGTGGGGAAGAAGTGAGAATACAATTCTCTGTATCATCACCTATAGTTACTGAATCGTACCTGCAAAAAATATAAATCGGTGAGTTTGGTTAAAAGGGATTTTTTACAAAGAATTTTTGACAATATTGACAAAGTAGGTGTTTATATTTCAGAATTCTCTTCAAATTTTATTTAGTTATTTTGAAACTTTTTTTATTGTCTCACGCAAAGGAGATTAGATACATTACACGTTACACGATTAGAAGTGTTAGCTACATCTGCGGTGAAAAAACAAGAGTATTTGCAATAATTCTACGTATGGTTGCCAGACTCTATGCAAAATTTCCTACCAGAAAACTACAATATCTAATTGGCCATATAATTTAATTCAGAAGCTAATGAGGGTCGAACTACGAACTTAAAAATATCAATCAATTAATCATTCACGCTTCCAATATAGCTAGCTTGTATGAAAAGAAAAAAAAGATATAGAAGTATGTATATATTCAAACTTACCTGAAGCTAAACCCTCTACAGAAGAAACTGTGGGCTCTGATACACTCAGCTTCACAAGCTCCAAGTCCACCAACAGTTAATGCTGCTCTTATTGCCGTGTCGCTTACTGCATAACCAGATCTGACGTGCCAGAAGCATTCTAGGACGAGAAACAAAGAGATAAGACAGGAAAAACTAGGCAAGACGAAACTCGTGAACTGAGAAAAGAAGGTAGGAGATATGAGTAAAAAATAACTTCTTAACAAATAACACAATTCTTATGGAAGTAATTCTCTTGTACACTGTAAAATCCGACTTCTATAAAGCAGGAGGCTCACTTTTTTTTCCTCATTGAAATCAGTGCACCTTTTTAAATGGAGTTCTCATAACTTTTTGTGGTAAAATAAGGTTCTTTTTTGTTTTTTGAGAATAAATTAAATAAACAAAGTTAAAAACTTCAAATGGATAGAAGAGAAAGAGTTTGAAACATACCACTCTCAACCCAAGGCTTATAATTGATTGTGACACAGCCCTGATCTTGTGGCATCGCATAAACATCAGAACTGCTATCTGCAGCAAGCTCTAGACCTCGATATGGGCGTTCGGATAAAAAGCAATTGTCAGCGCCATGGGCACTTGAATACCTGTAATATAAACACAAATTTATTTTAATGTATAGAGCGCAAACGAGCTGACGGGTCAGCTGATGGTAAATGACTAACTCCACCTAAGTACACCTGCAACCAAGGAGATACAAGTGCGTTGCTGCCTTTGGGAGAACCCGAATTTTGTGAAGGGTAAGTCAAGGTTGATCAAGGGGGGTTGATCCTCTGGTAATCTCACCCACTTGGTGAATAGCAACGAAGTTTTCCATGAGCCCGTTGTATCACTCTGGTCGAGCCGCCCCGTGTTTCGAAGCATGGTTCTCCCACGATTAGATTGTATATAATATGTAGTTGGGTATATCGTCTCTGAATTAAGTCTGATAATAACACAAAACCTTTGAGGTGCAGTTTAAGATACCTAGACTTCCCCTTGATTAATTGCTGATTGTATGATAAGTAAATCCTAACCTCTAAAGTCCTTAGATTGTAGGTAAATTACCCAATTAGTAACACAGTAATAATTACAATAAAATTATAAACAATGAATCTTTATTTTAAGTCTTGAGGTCGCGGTGTAACCCTGTAGTGTTATTCTCTAGTAGTGCCCGATTATGTGTCATCAATCTTCGTTTTTGACCCTGACCTACAGATCATTATCCCTTCGATGGTTACGGTGAAAAGGTATGTCGGAAATTAGCCCACTAAAAGCAACCAATGGTCCATCACATATGCTACAACCTAAGAAAGAAGTGTTCGTGAGCTTCGGCAAACTCAGGCCAAAGATAATCCTGCCAAAGGCACCTAGTTATCAAAAATAGAACAATACGCCGTGTACGTTCACACTGTAAAAATACTTCACCACCATCTAGCTGATAGATAGTCCACTAATCTTGAATCGCGTAATAGGGCTTTGTTCAGGACCATCTCATGCAAATAGAAAATAATTTAAGTAGATTACCTGAAGCTGTAAGACACGCATTTAAATTCCCTTTCACCAAAGCAAGCGGCCTCACATTCCACAACGTTATGGGATAGGAGTGATCGTCTGATAGCACCAGATCCTAGAGACATCCCTGGTCTACGGCGGGAGGAGCAGTCTGAAAGTGACAATAAACACAAATTTAAGGTTTCTAATTTTACTATTTTATTACATTCATTTTATTACAAAAAATATTAGTTGAGTGACGCACTATCCTTGGCTTAAACTAAAGTTCTGAAATTAACTCTTCTAGCACGTATCCATTTTAACCATAAAATTCTAATTACTACGACCAATTTATAAAATAAATAAATCTATGGATGTACGTTTTTCTGTTTTTTTCCAGAAAAATCATCATTCTTGTGTGCTGTGATCTCAGTAACTCACCTTACGAGTCATATAGTTTATCTATTATATTGTCTACATAATTATGTAAGTTTATATTAGCTTTTAACTGTAAGTCAGAACTAAAACTATAGCTCACCTTTAGTAAACCCATCGTCACTCCGTTCTATCGGGTCATGCCCATGTTCATTAACCCCATGAAAATGGGACTTCGGTTTATAAAAATTTGACTCTTCATACTGCAGTCCATTATTATTCCCAGAACTATTCCAACGGCCTCTTTTCCAGGACCCATGACCATATTTCCATGATCCATCTCCACCATTCTTTCCAAGAGTATTATAATCGAAGTGGTTATTAGAATAATGTTTGACTCCATGGTAAGGTATATCAATATCACTGGCCAGTCTCCAATGTGAAACAGATTTGTGATAATCGTTTCTGTCTTTGTAGTATCTATCTGTTCCTCCATAGCCTCCGCCATATTGACCCCAGGCTTCATCTTCGTCACTTCGGCCTAAACCTAATAAAAAGATATTGAACAATTTAGGAGGAAACACATTGAGAGTTAGGGCATTCCTTACTTTTATCGAAGTGCAATTTAAGAACCAATGTTCTAAAATATACACCATAGTTACACAGCATGGCGAAGTGGTGCCCTTTCTCTGTGACTAAGTAGATTTATGTATATAAAGAAATATTCTGATTGAAACACATAATCAAAATCTAATAACAATTATTAGTGTAATAAAAAATTAGTAGTAAGTAAAATGGATTTTAGCTGTTTATAGGCATATCGACTTCTTCCAGAAGGTTTACAGCATATACACGATTTTTTTTTGTATTACCTTCAACCGGCGTTACATTTGGTTCTACTTAATATTGTATAGATAAAACATAACCATTTTGATTACAGCCAGACTTGACTTTCGTGATCTACTACTGCAGCTACAGTTATAGAGACATCGCGAAACAGTTTTTCACCAAGCTGTAAATATGAATTTCAAGCGAAATAATTTTACAAGAAACATACCTTGATTTATTTGATAAGGGATGTAGATCCTGTCATGATTTCTGTTTCCATAACCACCTCTCCTGTCAACAGTGTTTCTGTCTCTATGTCTCCCATCAAACCAATCATTTTTATCTGTCCAACCTGAAACTTGATTGCTCTTAGAAGAAAGGAAACCAGAATGCAAGATCCCCGGTCCTCTTAGAGTTTCTGGACAATTTGGTTCCAAGCTGTTACGGTCAAGCTCAAAGAAATCAAACTCTTTGTCTTCGACGAAGTCACGAAGCAGGTCAAACGCTTCAATCGGTTTTGTCATCAGCTCACAAAGGCCTCTACCACGGAAACTGCGGTCTAATCTGAAAAGGTATTATATTTATTTTCATCATTTATCAAAAGTCACACATTTAGTCCACAGGATAATCCGAATAATCCCATTAGAATGTAATCTAGAAATTTCAAAGTACTATAGTATGTTGTCCTGTCTTAATGGTGTCTTCAATCTATGAACAGATTAAGAGCCATACGGGTTCATACTTTCAGACTCTTTGAGCTACTGCAGTCGCAGTCATCTTTCCCCATCCGATACTTGTCCTCCTTGGTATCCTTTACCCTATTTCTCGCCTTATCTGTCTTTTATTTTCTTCCCTTTATCCCATTTGAAGACTAGTACATCCCATAAATGAAACCAGGCAAATGAAACCCTTTGCAATGTTTCACTGACCCTAAACAAAATTAAGAAAACAACAAAAGCTAATGATGATGAAAAGTAACTTTTTGTGTACCTTTTTGGAGACATAAGAATTCATTTATGGATGTAAAATCAACCTCCGCTCTACATTCCACGCGTCTTCATTCATCACATTCGCAACAACACAATGGCTTAGTACGTAGTAACCTTGCGTTCGTCCCACTTATGTCAAATACGAGCGAGTGTTGTGTCCGTTCACATCATCTTTTATGCTAATTATTGTAGTTAATCATGGTATATGTATGGAGAAGCATTTATTCTCAAATGGTATTGTGTAATATTAGGATTCAATGTCAAAGTCTGGATCTTAAATCTGAGGTACTTCTCATAAAAATATGTGTAACAGACAAAATATCGTTGGTTTGATCTTTATCGTTAATAATTATGAATAATAATTGTACTTGTGATGTTGATCCTGAACTAAGCAGAGCCGGTACTGTGGTAACCAGCCCACTGATGTACATTTATTTATTTATTTACTTCCTTTAAAAACAACAACATATTTCTAAATACACACATATTATAGATAAAGTACACCCAGACACAGAACGAATGATCGTGCTCATCACACAATATTTGTCCTGGGTCAAACCCACGAACTCCAGCCTAGCTGTCAGGGTCACTAACCACTAGACCAGCACGCCCGTCCATAATATTATTGATATCAGAGAATGGCATAGAATTTGTTTTTGATGCTGTTAGTCTTAAAAAACAAAATACCGTATATCCGTATAAACATTTGCCAAAAAGTGACGTTGCATCTATGTTCGCAATAAAATATCAAAGCTTAATTACCTGCCGAGTGGGGACGAATTAAGAATACGGAGTGTCATCACCCATATTCATCCCGTGAGTGTCGTAAGAGCTGACTGAGAAAGCAAACTACGCATGACATCAGCACTTCAAAGAGAAAGGCAAACTTGAAACAAAATCTATGCCCACCCGTCTGGAAAGCGTGGCAGGCCAAAACCTCCTTTCTAAGGACAGGTCTATGTCTACTAAAGGTATTCGATGATAATGATGATGATTAGCTAATGGCGCACTTAATTCAATTTGTCAGAATCGGCTGGGAAAGCAGTTTAGATTTTCCAGCATAGCCAATAAAAATTACACAAATTCGACCCTGTCAAGCTCGTACTAAAGTTTATATAACATAACCTGATCCGTCTACTGCCTTACCTCCTAACTATCTTTTAAATACACTTCAGGCATCAGCTGTAGGACAGGCACAGACTTGGGGCAAAATGACAATATTTAATACGCTTCTGTTTACCCCTACGGAAACATGTATCCATGTCTGATATGCAAGTACACCTATATGTGACTCAGTGAAAAGACAATATATTATGAACCCGAACCCAAACTTGATGAGAAAAATTCGTGACAAATAACCAACTTAGATTAATATGAGGTACAAACTATGGTGACAAAAGTTAACACTTATTTAAACAAAAACATTATGAGACACGATTTGTAAAAAATAAACGGCTGATATCAACGGACACAAGGTGATCTCAACACAATACCGATCAGATAACTGAGTCGAGGTTAAACGTCATGGATTATGGGCTACCACCGGTATACTGTAGACAAATCTTTATCAAAGACTCGTAAATGGTAAAGCGTACTATGGTTAACGCATAGTGTGGGCTAAAACGCTTAATCTTCCACCCAAAGAATTCAAAATTGTTTTATTTGCAAGAGCCCAAAGCATTTTGCGGGATTTTATAGGTCCAAAAAGGTCAAAACCTTCACCTTACACAATAATCTAGCTACATTAGGTAATCTGCACAGCAATGCAGATGTGACAGCTTCCACATATAACGAAGTGTCATCTAATGAAGTTATGCCCGAACTACGGAGTAACTATTGATTCTCCATCATCAACAGCATTTCGTAGTCCACTGCTGGACATAGCCCTTTCCTTAAAAAGGAGAGATCAGCCTGCTATTCCACGCAGGCCAGACGGGTTAGTATAGGGTTTATGTCAAGTTTTCCTTCTTTGTTTGCATCGCGTTAAACGAATTAACGCATTTGTGTACCGCGTGTACCTCTGATCCAGTTACCCCATGGCCACGGTCAGTGCCAATCTGGTCATACAAAATACCTATCGTCTGAGCTTTAGTTACAATCCACTTACCAGTAGGTACTTACCATCTGATGACCCGTCTGCTCGTTTACAACCCTATACCATAAAAAACTGTTATAACATGTTTTAAGCGCTGCTTTAGCGGGTTTGATGCAAAATTTTATAAGGTTTTTCTAAAAAAAAATACCCTAAGTTACTCCTTATATACCGCTACGCAGCTACCTGGTAGTAAAATATTATCAAAATCGGTCCATAGGTGTCGTGCAAAAAACCGTGTGGAAAAACCCTATTATTTTGTCATTACAAACAGACACTTCAATTTTATTTATTTGTATAGATAATTATTACTCAGGAGAAGATCTTACATGACTTTCCAATCAGAAAAATCATGTCAAGGAGATAGTAACCTACCGGCATTCTGTTATACGAGTATTATATTTAAGTGGACAGCAGTGGACTATTAAAGGCTGTTGATGTGATGAGATGTGAAGAATTTATAATAAGGCCAAATAGAGCCAGCCCTGTATAGACCTAGATGCTCATGGAGCGTAGAGAGAAGGGCTTCGGTAATACGATAGGACTTAACAATACTGTAAAACTAGGTACCTGACCGGCTTTACCAGTTGCAAAGGATATTTATGATTAATACAAATTAAATAGGTTTAAGAATGCATTATTATCTTTTCTATGTTAGCATGTTGTTCTTGTTAGCCTCGCAAATAAGCTAAATTCTTGTGTAAGGTATGGGTTTGAGTCGGTACAGTACCTACTGGAAGGGATTCGAACCTGCGGTCACTTGATCACGAGTACGACTCTTAACAATAATGTATTAATAAATATAAATGCCAACTGAAGTGTCGGAAAAAAGTCTTTTTACACATTTTTCGGTCTCGCCCCCTTCCGCTCAGAGCGTGTAATAAACATAAATACATAAACTTCGTTCCAAAAACCGGTGTGAAGCAGTTCTTTCGTGGATTGTTACCCAGTAAAAGAGGTTACCGGAGCCCATAATCTCGCTTTCCCTCTGCTTTTGGGGAGGCGGGATTAAAAGGGCGGCAACACATTAAATTGTGACTCTTGAGTTTCAGGTGTGTCCACACCACTTAGCATTAGGTGATCTGTCTCCTCGTGGGTCCCATACCATAAAAAAAAAATTGTGACGTCAGAACTCCGTCATTTATAATCAGAAGCATAATTCTCGTAATAAAAGTTCGGTCTCAATTCAGTTCCGATCAATTTTCGATCTCACAACTGTCATAAAATGTATTTTCGTAGTAAAGTATTAAACATCCAACGTTGACTGTCACATCACATCAACAGCCTTTACTAGTCCACTGCTGGACATAGGCCTCTCCTTAGGAAGGAGGTTTTGGCCTACTATACCACGCTGGCCAGACGGGTTGGTATAGGGTTTGTGTCAAGTTTTCCTTCTCTCTGCAGTGCTGTTGTCCTGCGTAGTTTGCTTCCTTAGTCGCCTCTTACGACACCCACGGGATGATTAGGGGTGGTGACACTCTGTATTCTTAATCCGTCACCACACGTTGACTGTAATGTGATTATACCGTATTGTAACCGAAAATTAAGTCTTTAATCTGCTAGTCTTACTATACTATTACTTACTACACTTAATTTACTATTTTACTATGAAAATACCTTTAATGGCAGTTACGTTATACGCTCTGAGCGTAAGGAAACGAGATCGAAAAATGTGTAACAAGACTTTTTTCCGACACTTCCCTGTTGTTGGGACACTTTGGATAGCAAACGTCTACTAAAAAGCGAACGGAACTTCGTTCTGACCGGGGGTCTAGACTCCTCATACCGTTTCTTTTCTTTTGTTTGGGAGGCTATACCGTGTAGTTTATCAAATTTTAATCAAAACGTAGATGCGTTGAAGTTATTGATACTTTTTTTAAAGTTAATTATTCAGTGACAAGAAGGTACTTCTTTCAAACGAGACTTGGCTTGTTTGACAAATGCTTCATGAAAACAATAAAACGATACCTATGCTCATGGTTGGTGAAGGCTGCTTCCACACGATTTGTCATCAGCCTTATCACATACTAAGGTTAACAAAAGCGAAATACCAAAATGTTGTAACAATTATTAATAAGGTCGTATACCAGGAAACTTATACAATTGTGCGAACACTTCGTGAGAATGCAATAGACGTTTATGTTCATATTTACGTTAGTATCTCCAATCTGTGTTCACAAACAGGTGGCATATTTGAAAAGGTAATTGTTAATTTGTGTTGGTAACGAGGTGTGATAATGGCGTCGATATTGTTATGTTGCTATTAACGCCATCTATTGTTGACAAACGGAAGCTATAACTATACTAATTGTGAAAGATGGAGTTATAAATATTAAAGCTGCCGTTCCATTATTTATCTATACAAATAAAAATAAATGTGTTGCTAAGAGCAAAACTCGAGAACGGCTCGATCAATTCGGTAATTCTTTTTTCATATTTATCATAAGGCACTACGAAGGTTCTTATGAAGAGAAAAAACGTAAAAAAATACTAGAAAATAGTAAAAACAACACATTTCCCTTCCTATGAAGGGTAGAGGCAAGCAGAACCATAACTTTGAATGAAAAGTTTCCGTCAAAATGTATTAAATTGTGGGCGCTACAGCAGCATAAGTATAACTTTTTAAAGAAAGCGCCAATGGCAATGTAATAACTTTCAGACAATGAAAGTATTATAATATTTTAACTCAGCACACTTCACTCCGTGTACAACAGCTGTGTTCATATTCTAGTTTTCGCCAGCGACCTCCATTTTCAGTATACAGCTTTTTAAACTTTGCCCCCATATGAGATGGTTCTCCTTGCCTCTACCCTCCATATCTTTTCCAATCTTTTCCCGTGCAAACCACAGAGTAAAATAAAAAAGTCACACACAGTAACAGACAAGTGTCCCTAGTTGTCAAAAATTTGACAACTCGGGACACTCAAAACAAAACTGAAGGGCACATTGATAAGGTTGTAAAGATAATAATCTAAAAAAAAAAGTAGTGACTCTGAAATAGATACGTTTTATTTATTTATTTTTTCTATTGGACTTCGACAGGCATATATCTTTTTACAGAATGAGCTCAATGACTGTTTACCATCTAACAGTAACCTTGTTTTCCTCCTTAGAAAAAACCGTAGTATACAGGCGTTAATTATAATTTAGATCATCTTCATCATCATCAACAGCCTTTAATAGTCCACTGTTGGACATATGCCTCTCCTTAGAACGCATGTTTTAGCGTACTATACCACGCTTGTCAAAAGAGTCGGTATAGCGTTTGTTTCAAGTTTTCCTTCTCTTTGCAGTGCTGTTGTTCTTAGTAGTTTGCTCTCTTAGACGGCACTTACGACACCCACGGGATGGATATGGACGGAGTCATTCCGTATTCTTAATCCGTCACCACATGGACTGAGATATTAAAAGGTTCATACAAAGTCGGTTTTCCTCTTCAGAAAAAACCTAGTACGGTTTTTACAACTAAATTATGATATAGAACTTACCTATAATTAAAGCTTTCGCATGGGAATCTCTTCTCTGTAGCACATTCTCTTCGACAGTCTTCCAGCCTCTCGCACGGTACCACTCTTCGGACGTGGCTCCGAAGTGCTCGCTTACCTGCGAGCACGCGACGGAAGCAGGCTGTGGACAACCAATTATAATAATAAAACTTAACTCCTAAACCCTAACTAGGTCTACCTAGTTAGGGTTTAGGGCTCTAGCCTATCATCATGATCATTACTAGTTTTGACTCTCATGTTGAATGAACTAGGTAGAGCTTATATTATAGTAACCAGACTACTGATAAATTTACCTATTTAATAATACGACATTTAATGCAAATAACTATAATAATAACTTAACCGGATCTCACAAATGGCAGTCTCATTCCAAACTAACCTGAGCTGTAACTAGACTGCTGATTAACATTCATTTATATTCCTAAATACGTACAAATTATAGACAAATTACACCCAGAACAAGCGATTCATTTTTTTTTTTTCTTTCATTAGATGTATGTTTAGGGAACTGCTCTTTTCTCTGAATAAAAATAAAAAATTTCCACAACCCTAAAAAGGTACCTATGTAAAGTCAAATGTGTGTGTAAATTTATTTGTGTTAAAACGAACACAAGCACAAAAATTCTAACATCATTAGATCTAACATCAGACCAAAATTTAATTATGATTTAATTAGTTAAGACATAGATGAGTACCAAATAAACTAACACTATTCACATATTTTACATTCGAATTTATAATTTTAGTGAGTATTAAAATTTAATATTCATTTTAGTACATAAACCGACTTAGTCAGGCATAGACGTTAGTGGATTGTCCACAAACTCTCTGTAAGCTATATTTTTTAACTTCTACAGAATGCGGCTAGAGGAACCGCATGACTCATTCATCTTCATTAAAATATTCCGTGCTACTAAATTTAAAACAAAATTTTCTAAAAAAAGCTAAACCACTATAACTCGTGGTCGAACCTGAAATCAAACTCAAACTTATGAGACGCAACACTGAGACAACAATAGACTTTTCAGATATTCCACGGTTCGAACTAATACAACGCAAATTGGGATTAACAACAACTATACCGGTAATATTTAGTCTACTTTAAATATAATTTGACCTATATATATATATATATTTTTATATATAAATGTTGAGTTGATTTGTGTACGCTATTGTTGTACCTCATTTTACATTAAAACAAGTACAATGTACTACAGCGAAGCGTAGCAAGGGACATCATCACATCATCACATCAACAGCCTTTATTTGTCCACTGCTGGATATAGGCCTCTCCTTAGAAAGGAGGTTTTGGCTTACGCTGGCCAGGAGTGTTGGTATAGTGTTTGTGTCAAGTTTTCCTTCTCTTTGCAGTGCTGTTGTCATGCTTCTGTCTGTTGTCTCCCTTAGTTGGCTCTTACGACACCCATGACGGATGAATGAGGGTGGTGATAACTTGTATTCTTAATCCATCACTACACGGCAAGGTACAGCTAGTTATAAATAATTTCGTTAAAAATTATGGAGATAGGTTATTGGGCCAGTATTTTCACTCACTCAGAGAAAAAAATCGAATGCCAGTCCAGCTGAGCCAGCTCATGATGTGCTGACTCTCCCAATAAGTAATCTAATCTAATATCTAATAATGCTGCACCTTACTAAATCTGAAAATGCTTGAAATTTGTGTCAGTCAATTAAAATCTCCTACTTCAACCAGTGTTATTTAAAGAAAGCAAGATGAGCGCTACAAAAGTATTCCTGGCTATTTAAGCATAAGTTTATTTAAGTTATACCTTTTTTAGTTAATAGATGGCGTTGTTAGTGTTTGTGAATCGCGCTATAGTTTGACCATATAAAAGTGATTTAGGAATTATATTGTTTGCGAGTTGTTTTTAGGGAATATACGCATGATACACAATTGAGTAATATGATTCCTCGTCCACGGATCTTAGTCTTGTTTAATGTCAAACATTAACTAATTTTTAAAGAATCATTTAATTTAAATTAAAAAAACCGGTCAGGTACGAGTTGAACTCGTGCTCTGAGGGTTAAAAGCAAGGTCTTACAGCACAAGTAAAGATAACATTCTGAAAAAATTAAGGTAAATTTTGGTACTTACAAGTTTTCACGAAAATCGAAATTTACCCATATCTTTTTATCGTGTTGACTCAGGACCTTGATTTTTATACAAATAATAGGGACCATAGACCTCAGTATCTGGTATAAATTTTCAACTTGCTAGGTCTTCCCGTTCCTGAGAAAATCGGTGGTGACACACGGACAGACGGACAAGAATGTGATCTTATGAGGGTTCCTTTTTTACCTTTTGAGGTGCGGAACCCTAAAAAGACGTTGTAGAGAGAGATCATTCATAAACAAGCACAAGACAGACTGATAGACAGTACCCATTACTGTATGGGTATGAGTAAATAATATTGCTCATCCCAAATTCCCAATACAGCTGTCGTACAACAATAAAATTTTGTATTATTGAAAAGTAAGTTGAACTAGACCATCTCCTAATAGATGAAGAGATGAATGAAAGGACCGAAAAGGAAACTCATTCTTAAATGAATAAGTTTAAAGTACATCGATTCCAATCTTCACACTTGTCAATGGATACCTACAACTAAGAGTCACAATTGCGTTCCCAACCTTGGAGTTCTCCCCACCAGAACTAGAGGGGGGCGGGGGGTGATGAAGAGGCTCTGGTTTTCTTACTCTCACGGTGAAAAGCACCAAAATAATTACTAAAGAAGTGTTTTACTGTAAAGCCGTACCACGCTTGTGTGATACAAGCCAGATACAATCCAAGCGAGCTGGCTCTTATAACGTGGGCGTTAAAAGTTCCTGGTTGAATTTGGTGCCAAATTTCATACAAAACAAATAACACGACAAACTTATGTAGAGGAACTGAACCATTAGCACCTCAGTAAGCCTTGGGAGTAAAAACCCGAAATGATGTAACAACAAAAAGTGTACAAAAGATTAATTGTAACCTTGACTAAGATGAGTTAACTTAGATTAAAATAACAGTGACCTAGTCAGAGGACATCTAATGACGTGGATGTCTTATATAACAATGTATGTAACATTCATATCCTATTATTGTATAAAGTATTAATTAAATCTTTTACATAAACAATAATTTTATTCCAAAAAAAACATAAAATACCGTCTTCGTGATAATTATATACTTGAAATTTCAAAACTTTTAATTAAGTATTTTTGAATCTGCAGTTGCTTTTTTTCTAGTTAAAACGATTGCTTATTCACGATAAATGTTTTGTTTCTTTTTTAGGCGTGTCTCCTTTCAATTCCACTTAATATATCAAAGTTATATACACTAGTGTCACTCTCATTATAAATATGATTCTAAAGACTTCTTTTAAGCCAAAATCATTCAAGAAATCTCGTCACAGAAATATGTAGATACATACAAAAAAACATGGAAAACATAACTCTAACTCCTTCTGGTGCATTCGAGTAACAACACGCTTTAATGGGTAACTGAATTAATAAGTAAAATAAAAGAGGTAGATAGGTATATTATATATTGAATTGCTTGAGGTTTCGATCTGGGCCTCAATACTGCTATTTTAATATTGTATCGATAGACTGTAAGTCAACTATATAAGAGCAATAGCAAGGGAGCCTAAGAAGGGCTTTCAGGATTGACTCGAGCGTAGACCATTAACATAAGAAGGAATACCTTACACTAACTTGAGTACCTCCACCAAACATGAGCCCTACATATAAGGGTGAGCCTCAAGGGCAGACCATCGGATTAGTTAAAAAAAAATCGATGGCCCAAAATACTCGAGCGCGTAAGATTAAGGTAAGTCGAGTCAATTACATACACATTAGTGTGTATTTAAAAAATCAGACGATTTGCAAGAAGTAAACATAATTTTTACATAATTTTTCGTGCCTTTATTTGTCACATTTTGTAAAAAATCAAAATATTTCTAACCGTCAGATTTAAAATACCCCGCATAATTATGATCAGATTTTAGGCTAGTATGGTAGGTACATCAAGCTGAACCGTCTGTATAAAATACGCTATAAAACACGCTCGGGTATTTCGAAATCGCGATATTTTTTTTTATTTCCTCCCCTTACATTTTTGAAATCCTGTAGAAGCTTTTACCACCTCTGCAAGTGAAAACATAATATATATATTTTATTAATTCTATTACCTAATCTTTCAAATGCAATAGGTTTCCATGATGCTCGATTACTCCCCATATAGTTAATAGGCGCCTCCACTACACTACTACAATGGACTCCCGATGAATTGTCACTGAACTGCGACTGATACAAATGTTGCCGATGTCTTTGTTATAGTTTGATAAACGGTACATTTTAAACTTGTAAGGAAATTATATATTTTACTTTTCAGATATGGAAACGTTGTTAATATCGCCATTGATAAGCCATTGTCACTACATCAACAGTTTATTCACATTAAAAATTTATTATAATAAATAATAACCTCACACATCTCACACACGGCAGTCTGATCCCAAACTAGGTCGAACCTGTACTATGATAACCGGATTTCGGTCGAACGGGTGGATCGCGAGTATTACTAGCTGAGTTCTCACCCATGGTATCACGTAGCCTGGTTAGAAGATCTACAAAATCCTAAGCATCATTAAATCGAAGCTACCAGAAATGGGAGGGGGTTTTGGACTCCTGTAACCTCAATCGATCGGTAAAAAGCAACAAAACATTTATAAATGAAATATATCATCCCGGTCGAGATTGCCCATTTGTGCTACGGCATGGCTCTCCCGTGGTATATTAAGTAAACCAAGTATAGAGCTAGTCCGTGTGGTGACGGATTAAGAATACGGATTGTCACCACCCGTATTCATCCCAGCGGTGTCGTAAGAGCCGCCTAAAGGAGTAAACTGCGCATTACAACAGTACTGCAATGAGAAGGAAAACTTGACGCAAACCCGGTCTGATGTCTGGCCAGCGTTGTATATTAGGCTAAAACCTCCTTTCTAAGGAGACGCCTATGTTCAGCAGAGGGTTATTAAAGGCTGTTGATGATAGTGATGATAAAGAATAAAGTTATACCTCCTCTATAAACAAACAATCACGGTGGAACCATAA